TGTGTGTCTGAAGCACTTGGCCCTGTATATATATCCTCACCTCATTTCCTAAAGGTGTTCTTGACATTTTACCTCCTGAGGCCTCAATGACCCTGGGAGATGGAGCAGGGGAGCTGATTGTGGGAGATGGAGCAGGGGAGCGGATGGTGCTGGCGGCCATCTGCCCCATTGACCTTTGGAAACAGGGTGTTTGACAATGAAATTTGGTCCGGGATCTTGAGATCACACTGGGTTTGGGATGGGTCCTGAGTCCCATGGCCCATGGCCTTTGAAGAAGGCCTGACACAGATATGTGTGCTCTCTGGCAGGGTCTTGGGAATCCCCAAGGCAGTGGATCCAAATGCTGATCCCTGGTGACTGTTCAACGTGGGATGACCTTCTCCCCGTTAATCCCCATCCCTTTGAGTTGCTTATCATGTCCTTCATTTAACAGAAATTCACTCATTCATTTATTTACTCACTAGAGGCCCAATGCACAAAATGCGTGCAAGGATAGGCCTTCCTTCCCCTGGCTGCCGGCATCAGTTTCCCTCACAGCTTCATCCAAAAGGACATCCAGTCTCATTAGCATATTACGCTTTTATTATTACAAATGTATAAAATCTTTATTGTTGAAAGTATTTCATATATTCCCTTTTCCCCACTGACCCCCTTCTAGCCCACCCTCACTCCCACCCCTGCCCTCAACACTCTATAGTCTGTGCCCATGGGCCATGCATGTGCACACATGGTCTTTGGCTGATCACCTTCCACTCACCACCCTCCCGCCCAGCTTTTCCTCCAAGGTTCCACACTCTGCTCCCTGGATCCATTCTCTTCATCAGTTTATTTTGTTCATTAGGTTCCACCTATGAGTGAGATCCTGGGATAATTGTCTTTCTCTGATTGGCTTATGTCACCTAGCATGACACTCCCAGGTCCCTCCATGCTGTCCCGAAGGGTAAGAGATTTTTCTTTTTTTTATGGCGGCACAGTGTTCCGTGGTGCAGATGGACCAAACATTTCTCCACGCGTCTGCGGATGGGCCCTGGGGCTGTGTCCAGATCTTAGCTACTAATAGACATTCCTGGTTACCACGGTCGAGTCTGTCAGCACCGCCCCTCAGTCTTGTGCCTCTGGAGGCTGGAGGACTGGGCAGCCAGGGTCCGAGTCCCCTGCGGCTCCCCCTACAACGTGGTGCCATAAGCCACAGGAGTGAGTTCCCACACATCTGAAGCCCTAGTCAGCCGGGGTGTGAGCACGTGGGCGGTGCTGCCAGAGGCTCGGGGGTCTGGGGCTGAACACCACCCTGGCTTTTGCCTTTGTCTGACCTCCTCCCTGGTGTCTCTGTGTCAAATCTTCCTGTTTGTTTTCTGTTAATCCTCACCCGAGGATATTTTTTCCATTGAATTTTAGCAAAAGTGGAAGGGTGGGGGAGAGACACACAGAGAGAAACATTGGTGTGAGAGAGACACATCGAATAGCTGCCTCCCACATTCACCCTGACCAGGACCAGTGATTGAGCCTGCAACCAAGGTACCTGCCCTCCACTGGAATCCAACCCGGGACCCTTCTGTCCATGGGCTGGGGCCCTATCCGCAGAGCCAAGCCCGCCAGGGCTGTCTTTGGAGGTCAGTCATGGGACTGGGTCCCACCCCAAATGTAGTGTGACCTCAAGATCCTGCCCTGAATTACAGTGGCAAAGATCCCATTTCCAAAAGACTCAGCCAGGCAGGCAGCTGCCTGCTCCAGCATCAGCCAAAGTGAGCAGAAGTCCGCCAAGCATTCTCACGCTCCCCCACAATTCCCCATGCGCTCCCACAATTCCCTACATTCCCACGCTCCCCCACAACCCCCACGCGTTCCCACAATTCCCTACATTCCCACGCTCCCTCACAACCCCCACGCATTCCCACGATCCCCCATAATCCCCCACGTGTTCCCACGCTCCTCCACAATCCCCCACACGTACCCACGCCCCCCCACAATTCCGCACACGTGCCCACGCTCCCCCACAACCCCCCACGCATTCCCACAATTCCCCCACAATTCCGCACGCGCTCCCACACTCCCCCACAATTCCCCATGCGCTCCCACAATTCCCCACTCCCACTCTCCACCACATTCCCCACGCTCCCCCACAATCCCCCACACGTGCCCACGCTCCCCCACAATTCCCCACGCGCTCCCACAGCCTGATAAGCCCCAAGCACAGCCCACCAAGTCCTCCTTAGCAGCAGGGGTGAGGGCCTGTGGTCTGTGCACAGAACATGCTTTTACCCTTAGTCCTCAGGGACGGTGCCTTTTCATTGGCTTCAGGGAGGGAGGGGGGAGGGAAACATCTAAGGGATGGTGCCTCTCTCAGTCACCTAGGCTGACCCTGAAGCTGGGCTGTGCCCTAGGGAACTGAGCCTGCCCTCTACCCCAGGGCCTCCTCCTGCCCACAGTGTGTGTGTCCTTGCTGGGAGGGGCGGGGGGTCCCCACATCTTCGCACTCCTGGCTTGTTCTCAGACCTTGTCTCCAAGACAGATACAGGAAAACAACCAGCGGGAAGTTTGACAGGAACCAAGCAGGTGGGAGGCACAGCCACCAGTCCTGCTGACACTGTGACACTCCTGCCCCCACCCTGACCCCCTCCCCCTGACCGTCCCCCTGCACTGCCCTCCTCTGCCCCTTACCCCTGCCCTATCCCGTGCCTCCCGCCCTGACCCCCTCCCCTCTGACCCGTCCCCCTGCACTGCTCTCCCCTGCCCCATGCTCCTGCCTTGACCCCCTTCCTCTGCCCTGTCCCCCTGCACTGTCCCCCACTGCACTGCCCCCACCCTGACCCTCTCCCCTCTGACCTGTCCCCCTGCACTGCCCCTCCTGCCCCGTGCCCCCTGCCCTGACTCCCTCCTCTCTGACCCTTCCTCCCACCCTGCCCCCCTTCACTCTGACCCATCCCCCTGCACTGCCCCCTCTACCCCGTGCCCCCTCCCTGACCCCCTCCCCTCTGCCCCATGCCCCCGCCCTGACCCCCCTCACCTTTGACCTGTCCCCCCTGCACTGCCAGGCTGGTCCTGGGAGAGGGCCACAGGGCTCCTGGGAGAGGGCCGCATGGGCTCCTGGAAAATAGTCGCTGGGGCTCCTGAGCGGAGGCCACGTGAGTGTGGGAGGCGTGGGCTGTGCTCTCCTCAGTGCTCAGGGTACAGGCACCAGCAGGAGGGCAGGAGTTGCTGGGTGCATGGAGGGGGCCCCCAGGGAAGGAGTGGCACCGGAGAAGGGGAGGGCACCGGAGAAGGGGGGATGGAAAAGGGGGGGCACTGGAGAAGGGGGCCCCCAGAGAAGGGGGGCACCAGAGAAGGGGCCTGAACAATGGCTCCGGCATGCGGTGCCCAGTGGTTGGTGCCCGAGTGTGTGTGTGGGGGGCTCTTGTGTGTGTTTGTGTGTATGTGAGGACCTGTGTGTGCGAGGACTTATGTGTTTGTCTATTGTTCGAGGACACATGTGTGTGTGGACCAATGTGTGTATGTGTTCATGTGTGTGTGTGTGTGCATGTACATGAGGACCCATGTGTGTGTGTACCTTAGTGTGCATGTGTTCATGTGTGTGTGTGAGATTCTCTCTATGTGTGCATGTGTGTGAGGTCCTGTGTGTGTGCTTGTGTGTGCGTGCAAGATACAGCCAATGATTTTCTTTTGTTGTCGATGTTTCTATATCTCTCTCCTTCTCCCTCTCCAAAATCAATAATAATAAAAAAAAAGCTTAAAAAGAAGAAGAAAGAAGAGGAGATGGAACATAAACACACAGAGAACACATGGAAGATGGCCGTCCACATGCCCAGGAGAGAGGCCTCGGGCCGCAGCACCTGCCCTGGAACTCGGGCTCCAGCACTCTGGGTGCTGCTCCACTTCCTGTGGGTGCTGACTGACCCCCACACAGCGTCTTGTTTCTGGCCACTGCCACAGCCAGTCCTGCCCCACTCCCCGACGCCCATGTGGCTCCCATCACCCCCTGGTCTCTAGGCTGCCTTCCTCACCCTCTGGGCTGGATGCCGGCTGAATCGGGGGAGGAGGTGGAAGGGGGCACGTCGTGGTGCTGGGAGAGGGTGCCCTCCCCACCCCCCCCCCTCCCTGTACACCTCCGCTGGCTGTGGTCTCACAAGGCAGCAGCACAAGGAGATCCTGAGAGGCATGGATGTTTAAGGAACCTTTATTGTCGTTAAACACACACACCACACACACCAGTGGAGGCAATGGATGGGATCCAGGAAATTAAAGAGAAAACAAAAAGCGGCCCAAGCTACAAGGTGCTTTTCCTGGGAATCATCTCTCTGCGCATCCCGTGTCATGGGGCCCATGTCCCCCTCCTTCCCTGGGGCTCGGGACATCTGTCTGCCTGCCGGTCCCCAAGGCAGGTGGCATTCTGTTCAGTGCTCTTGGTTCTCAGCCCCCCTCCCCAGAGCAGGGACTCCCTGGGAGGGCGAGGGGGTGGGAGTCAGGCCTGGGCTCCCACCTGGGCCCTCCAGGCAAGGTACACCTCCACATGCACCTCCTGCCTCTGTCCACAGAGGCAGGGTCCCACTTGCTGGGACCTGGTCACCAGGCTCCACACCAAGAGGCTTGCAGGCCAGTACCCACCCACCTGCCTGGTACCATCCTGCCCCCGGGGCCCGCAGCAGCCCTGCTCAGAGAGTGTGCTCTGGTGGAGGCAGCTGAGCAACCATCAGGGCCCAGGTGGAGCTTCCCTGGGGGGATTTGGCACCTCCCGGGAGCACTGCCTCCTGCTCCTGCCCACACGACCCAGGGTGGCATCAGTGGTCGTGTGGAGGGTGAGTGGGCGTCCGTCAGCTCAGGTGGAGGAGGACCTGCTGTCCACTTGGTTCTCCAAAGGGGCAGGTCCCGGGCGGAACACAGCCTGTGGTGGCCATGAGTGCATATCCAGGGAGGCCTGGAGTCAAAGGGTGGAGAGGTCAGAGGGCAGCGAGGTCAGAGGGCAGAGGAGCAGGTGTTGCAGCAGGTGGAGCAGGTGAACCGGCAGCCGGCTCTGCTGGGAGGGCCGCTAAGCCCCTTGTTCGATCATGTTCCGGTAGTCCGGGGCAATGGTCTTCTTCAAGTCGGCTACCGAGGAGAAGATCCACTTCACCTGGGGGCGGAGGGCAGGGGGAGAGGGCCAGTCAGCCAGCTGGGCCTTCGGGGAACGGCCTGGGGCGGTGAGGGACAAGTGAGAACATTGAGGGACAGTGAGGGCACTGTGAGGGGTGTGTGGGGTGCGTAGGGTGTGTGAGGCGCATGGACATGGCGTGGGGTGTGTGGCAATAGCATGGGCACAGCATGGAATGTGGGGCACATGGGGTGTGTGGGGCTTGTGGACACGGCATGGGGTGCGTGCGTGGCGATAGCGTTGGCATGCAGGGCGTGGGGTGTGCGTAGGCACGTGGGGTGTGTGAGGCGCGTGAGGCACGTGGGCATGGATGGAGCATGTGGGGCTGTGGGAGCCCACCTTAAAGAGTGTGACGGTGGCACTGTAGCACACGCTGAGCAGAAAGAGGGTGATGAAGATGGAGATGGTGGTCCACAGCCCGTCCAGCTCCCCATCCTGGGCCTCGGCACAGCTCTCGTCCAGGAGCAGCTCTGCGCAGGGAGGGGGGTCAGTGCAGGGTCTTGGGGGCTGGTGGTCTGAGGCTGGCACAGGGGCTCCCAGTGAACAGGGACTAGCCAGGTGGGGCCCAGGGTCCCGGCTCCCAACCCTCTGCCTCAGACCCCGGTCTCAGCCTGGCTGGGCTGCCCCCTCCTCTCTGCCATGCACATGGGGCCATGGGGAACAAGGTGGGCTGACCCGCCGTCCAGCCTGCTCTCACGTCCACCAGCCGCTCTGCTTGCTCCCCCTGGGGTCCGAAGGCAAGAGGGCCCGGCCTGGGGATGGGCCAGCGCCAGGTCTGCGCTGGGAGTGGACAGGTGGGTGGCCTGAGGCCGATGAGTGTGTGGGGAGGACGTCTGTGTGTGGGTGAGGGTATGGGGAGAATTTCTGTGTGCGGGGGAGAGTGTGTGGGGAGGATTTCTGTGTGGGGGGAGGGTGTGTGGGGAGGACTTCTGTGGAGGAGGAGGGTGTGTGGGGAGGACTTCTCTGTGTGGGGGTGGGTATGTGGGGAGGACTTCTGTGTGTGTGGCAGGGTGTGTGGGGAGGACTTCTGTGTGTGTGACAGGGTGTGTGGGGAGGACTTCTGTAGGTGGGAAGGACTTCTGTGAGTGGGGAAGGGTGTAGAGGCCACGGAAGGGGGAGTGGTGTCAGTGTGGGATGAGCTGCTGAGTGACCCTGGGGCATTGGGGGGGGGCAGGCTGGTTTCCATGGTGCGGTTCCCAGGACCCACTGTGTTCTCTGGTCTGGGCCAGTGCAGGGTGCCTCGTGGGAGGTCCGCAGTGCAAGGCCTGTCTCTGTGTGCATACATGTGTACACATGTGTGCCTGTATGCACCCACACACATTCATGTGCATTCATGACTGTGTGTTTGTGTCTCTGTGTGCATGTGCATGTCTATTCGTGTGTGTGTGTGAAGGTAACCATGTGTGCTGGTGCTGGTCTGTTCGAGTGCCTTGCTTTCCACGGCCCTGGCTCAGTGTCCCTTTGGCCTCTGGACAGCCCCTACCTGGGACCCAAGGCTGCCCTTCTTTGCCTCTTTGGGGCAACCCAGTGAGTGTCCTCATGAGCAGACAGCCTGGCCCAGGCTGGATGTGGCCCACAGAGGGAGTGTGGGGGCTTGGTCTCGAGGACACGCAGGGCCTGTCCCACCCCATGGCCCAGTGTGCTCCTGTGCTGGCACAGAGCCATGTCTGGGAGCCCTGGGGGCCAGTGCACAGGGCACCCTGAAGCCAGGCCCTGCTCACAGCGGGGCTTGCTCAGAAGCGGGCACCCTGTCCCTCCGTCCCCCAGGGGTATCTCCTGTCCCGTCCACATCTCCCGACCAAGTTCTCGCTGGCTGGAGGTGGGGGGTGTGGGTGAGAAGTGGCTCTGTGGGGAGGCCATCCCACCATGGTGCCTGCAGGCCCACCAGCTCTGGGTCCCACCCCAGCGGTGCCAACCTGCCCTCTGCCCCCGAAAGAACACAACAGTGTTGCTGGCTCGCTCGCAGGGTCCCAGGGCCGTGCTGGGTGCTTTATTGAAGGCTGGTGCCCGGGGGTGTGGCGGGGCGCCAGGCGCCACTCAGTTACCCAAGCTCCGGGAGATGGTCTTCTGGGTGTAGTGGTTGTGCAGGGCCTCATGCATAACCTCGCATGTGAAGGGCTCGCCTTGCTGCCACCGCGCCTTGTCCACGGAGAGCTTGCTGTACAGGAAGAAGGCGCCCTCCTGGTCCTTCTGGGGCCGGGTTGAGGAGTACTTGGTCTCTGGCTCTGGCTCCCCATTGCTCTGCCACTCCACACTGATGTCCGGCGGGAAGAAGTCCTTGACCAGGCAGGTCACGCTGACCTTGTCCTTGGCCATCTCATCTGCGTGAGGGCTCAGGACGTACACCTGCGGCCCTCGGACCTGCCCTGTGGGATGGGGTCAGCACAGATGGTCACTCCCTGGTGGAGGACTGGCCCCCTAGCCCCGGCCCCGGTCCCCCCTGTCTGCTCCTCACCTGTGGCCTTGGAGATGGTCCTCTCGATGGGGGCCGGGATGGCATTGTTGTTGACCTTGCACTTGAACTTCTTGGCCTTCAGCCAGTCCTGGTGCGCGATGGCCAGGGAGTTGACCACGCGGTAGGTGCTGTTGAACTGCTGCTGCTGCGCTGTCATCTTCTCCTTCTTTATCTCTTTGTCATCCATGAACCAGGTGAATTCGACGTCCAGGTCTTCCGGGGCCACGTCCACCACCAGGCACGTGACCTCTGGCGTCCGGGAGATCATGAGGGTGTCCTTGGGTTTCGGGGGGAAGATGAAGACCGAGGGCCCTCCCAGGGTCTCACAAGCTGGGGGGAGACAGTGGCCAGGGGTCAGCCCTGGGCAGGCCTTCCCTGGGCAGGCGCTCCCCATGGCCTCCTCCTGGGGTGGTGTACTCACGTGGGCACGTGCAGGGGGCTGCGGTGGTGCAGACTTCTCTAATTGCGGGCACTGCAGAGAGAGCAGGCTGAAGGTTACCGGGGCCCCGGAGGGCACGGCCCTGGGGGTGGGCTTAGGTCAGGGCCAGAGTTTGGCAGGTCTAAGACAACACTGCCCCTGTGGCTCCAGAGCCTGTGCCCGTCCCAGGCCTGGTGGTGATACCCAGAGGACCCGGCCCCAAGTTTGTGGAGCCCGTCCTCCCCCCACTGCCCTGGGCTGGGGCAGCCATCCCTGCTCTGTGGTTTGTCTTCAGGGCTGGGTGCTCACCTGTCGTGATCACCTTGGTATTGCTGGCCGGGTGGGCCACGTTACAGGTGAAGGTCTGGCCGGACGAGCTGGTGGGCACGGTCACCATGCTGCTCAGGGAGTAGAGACCCGCGCGGAGGACGGATGGGAAGGTGTGCACCCCGCTGGTCAGGGCACCCGAGTTCCAGGACACAGTCACGGGCTCTGGGAAGTAGCCAGAGACCAGGCAGCCCAGAGACACCGTGGAGCCAGACGTGGTGCCACATTTGGACAGCGGGAAGACCGACGGGGTCGTGGTGGAGGCTGTAAGAGAGGGGCCACATGACTGCCAGGTCTCACCCTACCGAAGCCTGGGCAGGGCCCCTGAATCCCAGGCCTGGGACGGCGCTGAGCCCCGTGCCCGTGGCCCACGAGCTCCCAGAAGCCCGCAGCCCAGCTGCCCAGCTCAGCTCTGCCACCCAGGGCTTCCTGTCTCTCAGCCACAGGCGCCAGGCTCAGCAGCTCAGCCAGTGCTGCCTGGGCTAGAGCCCCCGCCCCAGCCCCTGGTCCTCGCTAAGCCTCAGAACCCTAACTGGTGGCTCTTGCTCTGCCTGGCTCCCATGGTCCCTGAGCCCACTGACCTGTTGCCCTGCCTGGCCCTGCCCTGGAGAGGAGTCCCTTCCTTGGCCCACAGCCCCTACCCTTCTGGGTCAGCACTGCAGCTGAGGCTTGCCTGGTCCCCACCCCAGCCTGGAGACCCTCTGTGGGGGTGTCCCCCCTCCTCCCTGCAGCCCCCCAGCCCAGACTGCGCCTCTGTACCCAGCAGTCTTGCATGCTCACCTCTCCCCCTGGCACTGCCCCCTCGCTGCCCCAGCTCCTGCCTGTCCAGAGCCCTCCTGCCGGGTCCTTCCTCAGACCCCACTCAGCATGGCTTGGAGCCTGGCGCTGGCCTTGGCAGCCTTCTGCATGGTGTCAGTGTCCCCAACCCCTGTGTGGCCCCATCAGCTCAGCCTCAGGCCCTGCCCCACTGTCTCTCCTCCCCATCTGCCACCACCATGCTCAACTCCCACCTCGCCCTGGGATCCTTTAGCTCAGGCCCTGCCTTAGCCCTGAGCTATGTCCCAGCTCCGCTGGACAAACTGCCTGCTACTCAGGGCTCCCAGCCCAGCAGCTGCCACGCTCAGTGCCCTGCAGGGTTACCCCCTCCAACTGCTCCCCACAAGCCTTCCCTGAACCCCAATCCCCACCAAGCCTCTTCCTGGGCCTTCAGAGGAGCTCAGGCCTCTGTCCTCCGGTCTCTGCCTTTGCCCATCTGAATCTCATTTCTGCCTGCTCTGTCCCAGCCCTGACCTGGGCATCAGGCCCCTGCCCTGGGACTCACCCCCTGCCCTGGGCAGGCCCTTGGGCTCAGGCCAGGGTTGCTGTGTCCTCCCCTGACCTGCCTCTGCCCCACTTCCTTCCCCTTTCCACTGAACCCCTGGCCAACAACCCCCCTCTGCCAAATGCCCTATGATCCCGCACTACCTACCTGCTTACCGCAGTGCTTTTGTCTCATGGATCCTGGGCAGCTCCTGCCCTCCCAGCAGCCCCTGCTCACTGCATAGCTGTGGAAGCTCCCACCCAGCTCCCACCCAGACCCTGCTCACCTGCATAGTTCTGCCAGCTCCCAACCAGCTCCCACGGGCCCCTGCCCTCCCACCGACCCCCTGCTCACCTGCATAGCTCTGCCAGCTCCCACCCAGCTCCTGCCCTCCCACAGGCCCCTGCTCACCTGGATAGCTCTGCCAGCTTCGACCCAGTTCTGACCCAGCTCCTGCCCTCCCACTTGCCCTTGTTCACCTGCATAGCTCTGCCAGCTACCACCCAGCACCTGCCCTCCCACCTGCCCCTGCTCACCTGCATAGCTCTGCCAGCACCCACCCAGTTCCCTGCCCTCCCACCTGCCCCTGCTTACCTCCATAGCTCTGCCAGCTCCCACCCAGCTCCCACCCAGCTCCAGCACTCCTACCAGCACCTGCTCACAAGCATAGCTCTGCCAGCTTCCACCCAGCTCTCACCCAACTCCTGCCCTCTCACCTGCACTCTGCTCACATGCATAGCTCTGCCAGCTCCTACCCAGCACCTGCCCTCCCACCTGCCCCTGCTCACCTGCATAGCTCTGCCAGCTCCCACCCAGCTCCTGCCCTCCCACAGGCCCCTGCTCACCTGCATAGCTCTGCCAGCTCCCACCCAGCTCCTGCCCTCCCACAGGCCCCTGCTCACCTGCATAGCTCTGCCAGCTCCCACCCAGCTCCTGCCCTCCCACCTACCCCTGCTCACTTCCATAGCTCTGCCAGCTTCTACATAGTTCTGACCCAGCTCCTGCCCTCCCACCTGCCCTTGCTCACCAGCATAGCTCTGCCAGCTCCCACCCAGCTCCTGCCCTCCCACCTGCCCCTGCTTACCTCCATAGCTCTGCCAGCTTCCACCCAGCTCTTGCCCTCCCACTGGCCCCTGCTCACATGCATAGCTCGGCCAGCTCCCACCCAGCTCCTGCCCTCCCACAGGCCCTGCTCACCTGGATAGCTCTGCCAGCTTCTACCCAGTTCTGACCCAGCTCCTACCCTCCCACTTGCCCTTGCTCACCTGCAGAGCTCTGCCAGCTCCCACCCAGCTCCCACCCAGCTCCTGCCCTCCCACAGGCCCCTGCTCACATGCATAGCTCTGCCAGCTACCACCCAGCACCTGCACTCCCACCTGCCCATGCTCACCTGCATAGCTCTGCCAGCTCCCACATAGTTCCCTGCACTCCCACCTGCCCCTGCTTACCTCCATAGCTCTGACAGCTCCCACCCAGCTCCCACCCAGCTCCAGCCCTCCTACCAGCACCTGCTCACAAACATAGCTCTGCCAGCTTCCACCCAGCTCTCACCCAGCTCCTGCCCTCTCACCTGACCTCTGCTCACATGCATAGTTCTGCCAGCTCCTACCCAGCACCTGCCCTCCCACCTGCCCCTGCTCACCTGGATAGCTCTGCCAGTTCCCACCCAGTTCCTGCCCTCCCACAGGCCCCTGCTCACCTGGATAGCTCTGCCAGCTTCTACCCAGTTCTGACCCAGCTCCTGCCCTCCCACCTGCCCCTGCTTACCTCCATAGCTCTGCCAGCTCCCACCCAGCTCCTGCCCTCCCACTGGCCCCTGCTCACATGCATAGCTCTGCCAGCTCCCACCCAGCTCCTGCCCTCCCACTGGCCCCTGCTCACATGCATAGCTCTGCCAGCTCCTACCCAGCACCTGCCCTCCCACCTGCCCCTGCTCACCTGCATAGCTCTCCCAGCTTCCACCCAGTTCTCACCCAGCTCCTGCCCTCTCACCTGCCCTCTGCTCACTGCATAGTTCTGCCAGCTCTCACCCAGCTCCCAGCCAGCTTCCTGCCCTCCCACAGGCCCCTGCTCACCTGGATAGCTCTGCCAGCTCCCACTCAGCTCCTGCCCTCCCACCTGCCCCTGCTCACCTGCATAGCTCTGCCAGCTCCCACCCAGCTCCCACCCAGCTCCCTGCCCTCCCACCTGCCCCTGCTCACCTCCATAGCTCTGCCAGCTCGCACCCAGATCCTGCCCTCCCACCTGCTCCTGCTCACCTCCATAGCTCTGCCAGCTCCCACCCAGCTCCCACCCAGCTCCTGCCCACCCACCAGCTCCCACCTGCTCACCTGCATAGCTCTGCCAGCTCCCACCCAGCTCCCTGCCCTCCCACAGGCCCCTGCTCACATGCATAGCTCTGCCACCTCCCACCCAGCTCCTGCCCTCCCACCTGCCCCTGCTCACCTGCATAGCTCTGCCAGCTCCCACCCAGCTCCCACCCAGCTCCTTCCCTCCCACCTGCCCCTGCTCACCTGCATAGCTCTGCCAGCGCCCACCCAGCTCCCTGCCCTCCCACAGGCCCCTGCTCACATGCATAGCTCTGCCAGCTCCCACCCAGCTCCTGCCCTCCCACCTGCCCCTGCTCACCTGCATAACTCTGCCAGCTCCCACTCAGCTCCCAACCAGCTCCTGCCCTCCCACCTGCCCTTGCTCACCTGCATAGCTCTGCCAGCTTCCACCCAGCTCTCACCCAGCTCCTGTCCTCTCACTTGCCCCTGCTCAGTGCATAGCTCTGCCAGCTCCCGCCCAGCTCCCTGTCCTCCCAGTGGCCCCTGCTCACCTGCATAGCTCTTCCAGCTCCCACCCAGCTCCAACCCAGCTCCCACCTAGCTCTCACCCACCTCCTGCCCTGCCACCGACCCCTGCTCATCCTCATAGCTCTGCCAGCTCCAGGCCAGCTCCTGCCCTCCCACCAGCCCCTGCTCACCTCCATAGCTCTGCCAGCTCCCACCCAGCTCCTGCCCTCTCACCTGCCCCGTGCTCACCTGCATAGCTCTGCCCCACCCAGCTCTCACCCAGCTCCTGGCCAGCTCTTGCCCTCTCACCAGCTCCCACCCGCTCACCTGCATAGCTCTGCCAGCTCCCACCCAGCTCCTGGGCATCTCCCTGCCCTCCCACAGGCCCCTGCTCACCTACAGTTGCTGTCCATAAAGTTCCCGACCTGCTGTAGCCCCTGCCCATTCTTTCCTAAGATCCCTTCCTACAGGTCAATGTTCCACCTGTGCTGTGTCTGCCCACAGCTGCCGCAGGGCCTCCTGCCAAGCCCAGAGCCTTAGCCCAGTAGCCCACTCCTGGCCTCATTCCTTCCCGGCTGAACTGGGCTTTGCTCCTGGAGCCTCCAGCCACCCGTCCTCTCTCCTACAGCCTCTGTCCACCCTATCCTCCCCCAGAGCAGGCCCCTCTTCACTCCTCACTTGCAGACATTCTGGACCTTTACTCTTTCCGATTGCTGGTCAGCTGACCTGTGCCTGGCAGCTGCTGGCACTAGGCTCTGAACCCTGCCACCTGCCCACCCAAGGAGCTGCCCACTGAGCCTGCCCTCTGGGCACAAGAGCCCATGTCCACCTCCCCGCTTGGCTCCACCACTGGCTGCCCTCAGCCCTGGGCCCCATGGTCTCAGCCTCTGACTCAGCCCATTGGCCTGGACAGGCCCTCAGGCCACCTGCAGGTCCTCTTCCTCTGCCGTACCATGGCAGCCACCCCCCTATGCCCCCAGCTCCTGCTGTGGCTGCCCCAGCCCTACCCTCTGGCCCAGGCAGCCCTGGGCTCCTGCCCTCCTGCTCGCTACCTTTCTCTCAGGCTCTGGCCTAGCTGCTCCTGTCTGTGGGTCCCCAAGGGCCTGGTCTCCCCTCATCTCCTGGGCTAGGTCCACTGTCCTCCTTCGGCCCTGCTCTGTAGGGACCCCACTCACCATGGGTGGGAGCTGTGGAGGCAGTGCCCCTGGCCTGACTGCTCTTGACCCCGGAGCATGTGGCTCCTGGTGGCTGTGGCTCTGCCCACAGCCCCACATCCTAGGAGTTGGTAGCTGGGCCGCTGAGATGTGAATTACCCCTGCCTCTCCCCTCTCCCCCCCCTCACCCTGTGAAGACTAAGAACGGGATTGAAACTGGTGGCAGCTTCCTGAAGTTCCCTTTTCCCTGGCTGGTTTCTCTCAAGGGGCCTGGGGGAGTCCAGACGCGGCACAGGGGCCCTCACATGGGTGTGTGGGTTGGGGTGAGGCAGGCATCCAGGGCCCAGGGGACAGAGTGAGAACCTCCTGTCGTGAGCTCTGCCTCTCCCCCCTCCCCATGGGGCCAAGCTCTCCCCGAGGCCCCTGGCTTCCCCAGCCTCATTGACACCTCACCCTGTCCAGCCAGCGTGGGTGTGGGCACAGGCTTCCAGTCACAGTCTGCAGCTCAGCCCAGGCTCCCCATCCTCCTACCCGGCAGCTCCCAGGAGCCAGCTGTCCTCCGGGCCCTGCCTCTGCCCTCCTTTCTTCCCTCTCTGGTTCCATTGTGGCCTAATCATTGATTGGTTCTTTATGTATAACAAACCAGAGGCCTAGTGCATGAAAATTCATGCAATGGAGGGGGGTTTCTCAGCCCAGCCTGCCCCCTCTCACAGTTCAGGAGACCTCAGGGAAGGAGGCAACCCAGCGATTGGGGAAGGTGACACCCTATCACGCCTCTGCTGCTGCCACTGCCAGTAGTGCAAGCCTCTGCTCACCCTGGTTACCTGAGCTTTGGGCCTCCCTGGGAGGCTGGGCAGCCACCATTCAAGGCTTGCTTTTGTCTCAGGCCAGCTCTGGGTGACTGGGGGGCTGAGAGGACTGGGGGACTCTGAAGGCAGCCACTCCAGTGGGGCTGAAGGGACTGAGTGCCACAATCTTTGAGGGCATTGCAGTCAATTAATATATTCTCTCCTTATTTGCTGTGGGCACTGACATATTTGTGACAGTGTGAGGGTCAATTAGCATATCCCCTCTTTATTATTTTTATTTTATTTTATTAATAAATCTTTATTGTTCATATTATTACAAATGTTCCTCATCCCCCCCCCCTCCATTGCTCCCCTCCACTGGGTTCCCAGCCCACCCTCAGCCATTTCCCCACCCCCCATTGTTCTCATCCATAGGTTCACAATTTATGTTCAGTCTCTTCCTGCACCCCCACTCCCCTTTTCCCCGAGAATAGTCAGTTCACTCCCCTTCCATACTTCTGATTCTATTATATTCACCAGTTAATATTGTTCACCAGATTTTTTAATTCGATTGGTTTTTAGATACACTTGTTGATAGTTATGTATTTGTTGTTCATAATTTTTATCTTTATTTTCTTCCTTTTCCTAAAGAACCCCCTTCAGCAATTCATATAATTCTGGTTTGGCTGTGATGAACTCCTTTAACTTTTTTTTTTATTAATGAAGCTATTTATCTGGCCTTTGATTCTGAGTGATAGCTTTGCTGGGTAGAGTATTTTTGGCTGTAGGTTCTTCCTATTCATCACTTTGAATATTTCTTGCCATTCCTGTCTGGCCTGCATGGTTTCTGTTGAGAAATCAGCTGACAATCTTATGGGTGCTCCTTTATAAGTAACTACCTGCTTTTCTTTTGCTGCTTTTAATATTCTCTCTTTGTCTTTTACTCTTGGAATTTTAATTATGATGTGTCTTGGTGTGGTCCTCTTTGGATTCCTTTTGTTTGGGGTTCTGTGAGCTTCCTGGACTTGTAAGTCTAATTCTTTCACCAGGTGGGGGAAGTTTTCTATCACCATTTCTTCCAGTATGTTTTCAGTATCTTGCTCTCTCTCTTCTTCTGGGACCCGCATAATTCTGATGTTGGTTAGCTTGAAGTTGTCCCAGAGGTTTCTTACATTATCTTCAACTTTCTGGATTCTCTTGTTGTCTTGCTTCTATGGAGGAGTGTCTTCTGGCTCTTTATGTTCCAAATCTTTGACTTGATTCTTGCGATCTTCCATTCTGTTTTTAGGACTCTGTATAATATATATTTTTTTTTTTATTTCAGACAATGTATTCTTTATTTCTAGTTGATCCCTTATTATTTCTAGTTGATCCCTTTTTTATATCCTCATAGGTCTCATTTATTTTATAGGCCTTTTCTAGGAAATTCTTGAAAAACCTTATAACCGTGGTTTTGAACTCTATATCCAGTCTCTTTTTGTCCTCCATTTCTTTCATTTGTGATCTGTTCCTTGTCTCAGTATTTTTTCAGCTTTCCTGAGTTGGTAGGGTGGTTTTGTGTGCTAGGGTGTCCTATATGGTTCAGTGGGTCAGTCTCACAGTTACCTGAGGTGGACACTCTTGGTGCCCCCTTTTGTGGACTGTGTGTACAGCCTTGTTGTAGTTAAATCTTGATTATTGTTGGTATCACTGGGAGGAACTGACCACCAGGCCAATTGGTTGTGAGGATCAGCTGTGTCAATGCCAGGAGACAGTCTTATTCAACTACACTTAGAAAATTGCAAAAGCCTCTGTGCTCAGCTTGGATGGGGCAGAATTTCAGGGTGGAGCCTACAGCCTTGGCTTCCTATCAGCCCCGCCCTATGAGGTTCCTGAGTCTCAGTGTTCCTCAGTGTTCTTCGGTACTCACTGCAAGCACCTCTGAGAGAAAGGTGCCCTCAAGTTCCGCCCGCTACCAAACAGTCTAGGCTCTCCCCCAATGAGTCTGGAACTGGGGTTCAGTGCAGTTGAAAGTGGGGTTAAGAGCAGTCTGGTACTTTTGTTTCTTTCCTGCTAGGGCAATCCAGCAGCACAGTCAACAGTCCGTTCTCTGCGCATAATGTGCACTCCTCTGGGACTGCCTTTTCACTGCTCCCCTGAGTTTCCAACTTACAGCTTAGATTCCCTCCTTATGTGTCTGGGTCCCAAGGGTCTCGCATAGAACTGGAGTTCAATGCTGTTGGAACTGGGGTTCAGCACAGTCCGGAGCTTTTATCTCCTTCCCACTAGGGAATGCCAGTCAGGCACTCAGCTGCCCCTCCCCTCCACATGCAACATGTCTCCATACCTTAGGCTTTTACAGCTCCTCTGATTTTCCTTCTGGTTTTCTCTTTCCTTCTAGTTGTAGAATTTCCAGTCAGTTGACTTTCCTGAAGTTCTGGGTAATGTCCATTTTGTATTTTAGTTGTATTTTTTTAAAATTGTTGTGTGAGGCTGCAATTAGGTGTTTACCTATGCCTCCATCTTGGTTTCTCCCCTTTCCCCCTCTTTATTAGATAGGATAGTCCTAAATGCTGATGCAAGATACTTACAATAGGTAAAGATGTGCCAGCCGGCATGGCTCAGTAGTTGAGTGTTGACCTATGAAGCAGGAGATCATGGTTTGATTCCCAGTCAAGAGACATGCATGGGTTTCGGCCTCACTCCCCAATGTGGGATGCACAGGAGGCACTTTTCTTTCTTCCTCTCCCTTCCTCTCTGAAATCAATGCAAATATATTTAAAAAAAATAGATAAAGGTGTGGTGTTTGAGGGGCACTGTAGAATGGAAACTCTGTACTGTCTGATTAGCTCGTTTGTAAACTTAATCTCTCTCCCTTACCCTCCCCCAAACAGTAAGCCATTCAGAAAAACAAGAACAGCACTGCAGAAGCTGCTCACACAGGTGGTGGGCCGGACAGCACCATGGACAGCGACTCGCCCAGGTGGTGGGATGGACAACACCATGGACAGCGGCTCGCCCAAGTGGCAGGCCAAGCAGCACTGTGGACAGAGGTCTGGAGGCTGAGGGGACAGACACTACAGAGCCATTGTCTCCTGTGCAAAGGCAGCCGCCTGGGACAGCACTGGCTCTACAGCAGGAATTTACAGAGATAAAAAGCATTTGGACCTTTGCATCATGACCTCATGCACCTAGTCCAGGAGTCATGCGTGCAGAACCCATGAGCGCCCCACAGAGAACACTGGGTGAATGCAGGGTGGTGGGTGGAATTCTCAGATGGCCCCTCATTCTTTGTTCAATTATATTTTTATTGATTTCAGAGAAGAAGGAACAGGGGGAGAAAGACAGAAACATCAACAATGAGAGAGAATTATTGATGGGCTGCCTCCTGCGCGCCCCACACAGGGGAGCGAGGCCGCAACTCGAGTATGTGCCCTGACCAGGAATCAAACCGTGACCTCCTGGTTCATAGGCAATGCTCAACCCCTGAGTCACTCCAACCGGGGTTTTTGTTGTTATTAATTCTTACCCGAGGATATTTTTCATTGAGTTTTAGAGAAAGTGGAAAGGAGGTAGGGAGTGGGAGAGAAACACTGATGTGAGAGAGACACATCGATCCGTTGCTTCGTGCACGTGCCCCCACCGGAGCCAAGGATGGGCATGAACCTGCAACCCAGGCCCACGAGAAGGGAATGTGTGACCCTTTGTTGTGTGGGCCAGCGCTCTAACCACTGAGCACACAGGCCAGCACGGTGCCTCATTTTGATATGAAATATATATATATATATATATATATATATATATATATATATATATATATATATATATATATAAATTATTTTCTCTCCTGCCCCCCCCCCCCGTTCTGCTACCATTTAGCATAGGATGCATTCCTGTGAATTACCATGGCTCAGGGTTAAGCTGCTGTCCAGCTCTGGCCATTTTCCAACAAGGACAGAATGGGTGGCTCCCAGGGACAGGGAAAGGGGGTGCTGGCTTTGTGTCCTCTGGAAGGGGGTTGGCAGGGGGTAAGGCCGTGTGTTCTTCACTTGCTAGCAGGAGCTCAAGGAGCCAAAGGAGCCATGTGGTGCTGTGGTGAGTTTGTTCTCACCTTAGCTAGCGCTCACTACACCTCTCAGGACCCTCTTCCCGGGAGGTCTAGAGGAGAGTGGTCATGCCAGGAAGTCACCGTGCTAGGAAAGCTGGGCGAAGCGGCAGTCCTCAGGGCTGGAAGGCAGGAGCCGGGCCCAGGGGAAGAGCGGCTTGTCAGGCCTGGTTGAGGTGTGGAGGGCATGTATCCTGTTGGCACAACTGCTGGGACAGATGATTCTACGCTGAGAGGGGAGGGACTGCTGGGGGAGGCCGGCGTGACAGGAAGCTCAGGGCACGGGAGCCCATGAGACCACCACGTGCCTCCAGCAGGCCAATTTCCACAGCGGCGGGGCTAGCAGGGGTTCACTGGGGATGAAAAGGGACGTCGTGCTGGGTGCAGCCCCAGCTCTCGGAAACCCCTGGGCAGCTTCCCAGAGCCAGAAGCTATGAGTTCAGGTGTGCATTGATGACAATAGGTTTCACGCCCTGTGTCAGGGACTGTTTTAATTTGTAAACATATTTTTATTGATTTCAGAGAGGGAAGCAGAGGGAGAGAGAGGTAGATATATCAATGATGACAGAGTCATAAATGTGCTGCCTCCTGCACACCCCACATTGGAAATGGAGTCTACAATCCGGGCATGTGCCCTGGCCGGGAATCGAACCATGAGCTCCTGGATAGGAGCCTACGCCGGCTGGGTAGGAGCTGTTTTATAAATGTGTTTCCCAGACAGAACGAACCTTAAGAACTGACTTCTGGCCCAGCCAGGCACCCGCACACTCAGGGGAAGCATGGGCCATGGGGTGTGGTGCCCAGATTTCCTCCTGGCTGCCCAAGGGCCTGTGGATAGGGCTCCAGGTGAAAATCCAAGGGCAGAATGAAAAGTCAAGACCTGCTCTCTTGGGAACAGCCAGGAGACAGCTGTGACTCCATGGGGGTTCCTGAGGGTGGGGTGGGGCTGGAGGGCGGGGCTCCGGGATAAAGCCCAGCAATGTGGCCTTTGAGGCTCTGAGACCCTCAGCCCCCAGCCCGGCGCCCTCCCAATCTTCATCATTTGTTCATTCATTCCTCCTCTCAGGGGTGTGGGTGCTGGGGTGCCCTGTTCCTGCTCCCACGGAGCTTAGTGTAGGCACGGAGGCAGGACTGGGGACACACAAATTGTGTTGCCCTGGACAAAGAGCTGGTGAGTAAGCCATGGGGAGGTGGGCAGCAGGCTGGCTGGGCGAGCTCTGACTTCATACTTGCGTGTGGGAACCCACCAGCCGGTTTGGGCCTTGGCAGCCAGGACAGTTTAGGTTGCAAAAGACCACCCTGAGAGTGGAGGAGCAGCCTGGAGGGGCAGCAGGTGTGGTGTGAAGCAGGAGGTTGGCTGCACACAGTGGCGGATGGAGGGCCATGGGCCCATGGGCAGGTGTTCATCTGCTCATCTGCTCAGATGGCAGAGCAGGCAAGCAGCTCAGAGGGAATCCCCTGAAAGCAGGACAGTGACTGCCTCTGTGACAGCTGAGGTGAGCGAGCAGGGATGGTGCACCAGACCATGGCCAAGCCAAAGGCATCCTGATGCTGCCACTCCTGCCTGTTTGCTGAGAGCTTTCCACCTGCCTGGTGGTCTTACCTGCCTGGAGGGTCCCACCTGCCTGAGGGTCACACCTGCCTGAGGGTCCTACCTGCCTGCTGGGTCCTACCTACCTGGAGGGTCCCACCTGCCTGGTGGTCCCACCTGCCTGAGGGTCCCACCTGCCAGGAGGGTCCCACCTGCCTGCTAGTCCCACCTGCCTGGAGGGTCCCATCTGCCTGCTGGTCCTACCTGCCTGAGGGTCGTACCTGCCTGGAGGGCCCCATCTGCCTGGAGGGCCCCATCTGCCTAGAGGGTCGTACCTGCCTGGAGGGTCCCATCTGCCTGGAGGGTCCCATCTGCCTGGAGGGTCCTATCTTCCTGGAGGGTCCCATCTGCCTGGAGGGTCCTTACCTGCCTGGAGGGTCTTACCTGCCTGAGGGTCCTACCTGCCTGAAGGTCCCACCTGCCTGCTGGGTCATGAGCAACAGCGAGCTTTGTGCTCTCTGAGGCAACTTTCTAGGTGAAACCAAGAATAACTGACAGGAATAAGTGAGCCAAAGAAGGTTCTGGAAGGAGGCTCAGGGGGAGGTCTGGGGGCTAGGCCTTTCGTTGGGTGGTGGGACCTCACACCGAGCTGTAGGGGATGAGGGGGAGCCTCATGGCCTGGAACAGCCTATGAGGGGACAGAGAGAGAGGGAGAGACAGGAGCCCAGGGCAGGCCAGGCCCTACAAGGACCCCATTCTGATTTCTTTTAAAATGTGAGGGCTTTTCAGGCTGTGGAGACCTGGGGTCTCATCTGAGATCTTGAAACAGGGCTCCGGGGGTGGGCAGGGAGACCCTGTGGGTGTGACCCTGGGCCTCTGGCAGGGAGACAGCACGGCCAGGTGCGGAGAGGAGGTGGGGCGTCGGCCGGATGGGACAGGGTGGAGCAGCAGTGTGCTCCTTTCCTCAGCTGCT